TGATTTATTTAATATTATAATTAAAACTACAAGTTCGGCATAAAGTATAAGAAAATTTTATTTTATAGTAAATAAATGTAACAATCCTTTTATTAGACAGATATTCCACTCACTGTCCGCGTTAAGGCGACACCGTGAAAAAATGCACCTCCTTTCATCGAATAGTATAGGACTATGACACCCACTAACGAAAGTGGAATTTTGATATAGGTAAATTCATGTCTTTATCTTGAATTTGATTGTTCAAAAACACGATTATATAATTTTGACTCGATCATAATTATTTGCGAAAATACCTCTAAAAATCACTATAGTTGAAATTACAACGAAATTACTTAATCTATATGCTTGGGAATCACTCAAATATATTCATAACATCAATGTCCACAATTTACTTGCTCATTATTTTGATTACTTAAATCAATAATTTTTAAAAAAATATTTTAAGATTCTGACAATTTATAAGCGCTTTTAATCGTCGCCGGCGCTACGCAATTTTAGACCTTATGACGGCGTTTTTACAAGTTTTTATAGGAATTATGTATTCACTCGGATCAGTACAGCGATAGCCTTTTCGATGTGTCGTCTTAAGGCTTCAATGGTGCTATTTAATGGTGCCGTAGGTGCAGATGACCTGCTATTTGCGCAAGTACTTGAAGACTGTTGGTTAGCATGGTTGCAGGAACAACGTAATTGACATGGTCTGCGAGCTCAGCCAGGTCTTTTAGCGACATCTTCGTTTACTGCGCGGCGATGCAGGTCTGCAAGTTTGTAGAAAGTCGACTTGCCCACATTGTCCTAATGAATTCAGCTGCTATATCCGCTCCAGCTAGGTGCTGTATATGCTGAAGGAATTGCTTTGGCTTTCTGTTTCCTATCTCTTCATGCATTAAAAGCTGTTCGATCTTTCTTTTCTTGTAAACAGAGAGCATTCGTATCAGCTCCGCCTTCAAAGTATCAAACTTGTATGCGGCAGGTATGGAAACTATTAAGTCTCGTACTTCTGCTGCATGTTGCGGTTCCAGCTGTGCCAGGATGTAGTAAAATTTCGTGGCGTCAGCACTGATGCTGGACAACGTGACTGCCCTTCCAGTTGCGAGAACCATAGTTCAGGGTCATCAGGGTTGAACATGGCAGTGTTGGAGTGAGAATATTCTCCCAAAACACCTTCAGCTTGCATCTTCTTCGAAGTATTGAATGTCGGTGGTCACCAGTGTAAGAGCGTAGGAGAACGATCGTGTGCCGCTATATTTAGCAATTAGCTTACTCAGACCACTAATAATCTTTATTGACACGCACGTACAAGTTAGACGAAAATACAAAAAAAGACATTGTTTATAAAGCTAAAAATGTTTAAAATTAATTAAAATTACATCGTGCTGTGTTTGTATTAAACTACGATAAACGCTCTGATTGTCGTTTTCATAAACAACCTGATGTATGACGTAGTGATGGCGTGATCTTAAGGTCCGTTCTGACTACCAATTTATTCGCCACATAAATAACCCTTCACTGCTGGTCGTATGAGAAAGCTCAAAGTCGCTCAGCGAGACACGGAGACGACTATGCTCGGGGTTTTTTGCACCATTATAAACTTAGAAAGGATATAGGTAGTAGAACCAGAGTAACCGACATAGCGCAACGGATAAGTAAACTGAAGTTACTTATCCGTTATATGGCCATATAGCTCGAAGAACCGACAAACAATGGGCAAAAAAAGTTTTCTAGTGGCAGCCTCAGACCCCCAATAGATGGAGTGATGACCTTGTAAGGCATGCAGGAAGTCGATGGATGCAGGTGGCTCAGGATCGTGCTTTGTAGCATTCCTTGGGGGAAGCCTATGTTCAGCAGTGGACTTGTGAAGGGCCGTAATGAATGAAAAAACAACAAATTTTACTTTTACCAACGCAGAACTTATGCGGACTATGATGATTTGTTTATCGATAAAAATATCGACATAGTCCTCGCCCGACGTTGCTTACGCATGTAGACAGCGGCATCACTGTACACGTGTATAATTTGATGGATTTGATGGTATGCGTAAATGCAATGAATACAAACACAAATGCTGTAGTGTGCATGTATAGTGACGCGATTCAATTTTGCTTTTGTAGTGAAGTATACAGTAGTGTGTATTCCTCGCCTCTCCTTGAAAGTGACAGACTTTTAGTTTAGGAATTAACGCGCATGGCCTCTCCAGTTGGTTGAATACTCTCCACCCTAGGAATCGGAATACGTTTATATTATTTTCTTCCAAATTTCCTCATCGGCTGTGTACAGTCATTTATAGAATCATGATAAAAACTAGCTCAAAATACTTAGTAGACATTACGTATAAAAATATATCCATACTTCTTGTTTGAAACGTCAACGTTGAAATAAAAGAAGTACCTCACAGGACTACAGTTCATTGCAATACTCGGAATAAAATAATTTAAAACAAAGATAAAGAAAAACTTCCAATCCATTTCAATCGTCAAGTTTTTGAAATGCTTGCCAAAACGCCCAATTTTTTGGTAACACATCTGTGAGCAAATAAATTTAAAAAAAAAACGATCGCAAATGTATATTAAAATTAGCGAATTTATCCAGGATATCAAATTAAGTCCACTCAATAATGAAATTAGAGTTGGAAATTGCCTGGACATATTGCAGAATTTATAAAATACGAAATAATATTACTTATTTAAAACGAGGAAGTTTAATTTAATTTAAATAGGTACAATACGTAATGCGTGGACTTTAAGAGGCTGTAACGGTAACGGCAACACAAAATAAATTTTTGATAAGTTTTGTGGTTATTAAAAATTAATTAATAATTAAAGTGTATTTGTTGAACTGTACTTGGGATGAAAAGTCGGAAGAACAAACAAAAGTGTATTCCGATTATCCACGCCGTCTGGGGTGTATAAACGGACACGTGTTTCCGAGTATACACCCTAGGGTGGATTCTTTAGGGTGGATAAACGGAATAACCCGGGATCTTCGTTTTTGGATTTAATGTATTCGTAAATAGGCAGAAAATATTTCAAATTCTTCAAAAACACAGTCAAGCGGCAGGAGTCGTTATAACTATCTCGATTGTTTATTTTCCGCTGATCAAGTGGTAAATCCTTAGACCATTCAACCCAATGGCAACGTATTATGAAGAACCTATCTAATTTTCTTACATAATTTAAGAAATAATTTCTCTGAGGCCCAGCACAAACCTGAGGCCGGACTAAAGAGATTATCATATGAATCACAGAAAGATCAATGTATAGAATGCAATTTTGAATAAAATAAGGTATAAGTTTCAATGCTCGGTCGTCGACCTTGGTGTATCCCAGTGGAATCAGTGGATTTCTCGCTGCATTGAATCGCGCGTATACGCGCCATAACACCAGGCGAGGTGAGGCAATAAAAATTGTTCTCCTATTAGAATTGACATTAGTACGTGCCTAATCTACTTACTTGTTAGTGGATCAAATACTAGCTACCGTTGTTGATGATGCCGTGGCATTCCAGCGGACGTTGGGGTATCGTAAGGGATTTTCTAATCAGTAGGTATGCGCTAGGGGGCTTCAGATCCTTTTCGAAGCTCACCCGTCATCTACCGGACCAGGCGCTGTGCTAAGTTTTATAGGTTTGTAATATAATAGTCTTCTGCAGACATAGGCTTTTCCTATTAAAGGATCGCTTAATATATTCTGGACCATTGCAGTACCAGAAGTCTCGCACCTTCGATGTTATCTGTCGTCAGTCAGGCTATGTACCCATAGATAATTATATGAATACATGACCGACGACAGAACAGATAACTGTCATATAAAAACTGGTACAACGCTATTCATCGCATTTTAATTTACGACACCTATGGGACGAAATAGTGACGGTCTCCTACGCCGTCACGCCAAATCTGGCATTTTAATGAGCACATATTGTCATCACAGCCCATGAAGCCTACATTAGAATATAGACCTCCCCCAATGAATGCCACGAAGCATGACCATGTCTGAGCACATCTGAGCATTTCTTACCGGGTCATCACTCTATTTACTGGGAGTACACGCTACACATCGCTTACCCGTTTGAAGTATTAAAAAAGTACCGCAGGGGTTCTTGCTGGTTCTTGGTTTTTTCCGAACCAGCGGTAAAGTAAAAAATTACTTTCAATAAGAATTACATGTAATCTATACTAAATTTTGTCTGGATAAATCTGAGCTCCCTATAATTCACTGGGCGACCTGGAGCTTTCTCATTGTTGCGTGCACTAATAAATGCCATGTACACTTATGCTGGGCATTTATTTACTGTTCGGAAGCGATCGGTCTGCCTATCAAACAATTAATTAAATTTTTTATATTATAAATTAAAAGGTTCTGTATTCTATAGAACTTGAAAATAGGAATTAAGTTTTAAAACCTTAATTAAGAGCTTCTTTGCTCACATGTATTAGTAATTCGGAATTTATTTTACGACTTTATTTAATGAGATAAATATCCTATACCTTTAAACGAGCAATTCTAAAATATATATATATATATATATATATATAATATATATATATATATATATAATCTCGGAAACGACTCCAACGATTTTCATAAAATTTAGTGTCCAGGGAGTTTCGGGGGGCAATAAATCGATCTAGCTAGGATTTGTTTTTAGAAAATGTCTTTTTGTCCGTGTTTTCAGGCAATGAAAAACTGCTACAATATAAGAAGGTAAATTTTGACACTGTGTTAATGATCGTAATAGCTCAAGTGGATATAAAGCGGTACAGCAATCTATGTAAAGCGGTCGCGAAATCCTAATGCCTTGGTTCGCGTCCTGTGTTCAGTCCGTCAAGTTCCCTTCTTTTGTGAGAAAATCTATTATTTCGAGCCTCCTTTTTTTTAGTATTTTTTAAACCGTTACAAATTTTAGTTCTAGCGACTGGTTTCCTCCCCCGCCTTAGTACCTTCCTATAGTGTCGCCGGTACCGCGGTAGCGAGAGGACGTGCACCTGTGAAGCGTAGTTGGTGAGTTATCAAGTCGAGTGAGTCCCATTGACTCATACTAGTGAATTATGTTAATATTTTTATTTAATTGTTACGATTCTCAAACGTTGCTTATTTGTCGTATTATTTATATAAAAACATATATATTTAATTTCTTTCATTGTAGGTTTGTAAAATGGATCTAAAACAACATAAAGTTGTAAATATGAATGAAGACCAGGCGGATTCTGGTTTGGAATCATGGATCACACAAATTATGAATGAAGAGACTAACGATGAAGATGCTGGCCAGTCACACGGTGTCATGATGCCCACAAATGAAGACATACACAACTCGGATAGGGAAGATGGTGAGTTCATTCACAGTGAACACAACACTGATTCGGAATCTGGTAATGAAAAGCAACCTGAGGCACCTGCGACCGATGATTGTGAGTCATCGAGTGAGAGCAACTTACCGCCATTGGAGCTATCTCGCAGATTGCGCGCTAGTTCGCCAGCTCAAGAAAATTTATCTGACGACCAATCGATACCCGCGCAAAATCAAAACTACTACTACGGGAAAAATCGGTACAAGTGGTTACGATTACCTCCAGCCCGAAATGTACGTACTGCAGCACATAATGTGGTTTAAATTCCTAGAGTAAGGCCTACAGCTGAAAGATCTCTTTCTCCAATTGATGCGTTCCAGCTAATATTTAATCAAAGAATGCTAAACATCGTTTTGATTCATACAAATAAAAAACTTGCGGAATTTCAAACGAAATACCCAAAAGATTTTGCCTTTAGACAGACTGGCCTTATCGAATTGAAAGGGTTTCTGGCTTTGCTTATTTATTCTGCTATTTTCAAATCTAACAGGGAAAGCGTTCTATCATTATTCGCAACTGACGGCACTGGGAGTGAAATATTCAGAGCATCTATGTCCAAAAACAGATTTTTGGCATTGCTATTGGCGCTTCGCTTTGATAATGCTTCTGATCGTGACATCCGGAGGCAATTTGATCCTGCTTGTCTTATCACTGACATATTACAGACGTTTGTTGAAAACAGTCAAAACAATCATTCAATGGGCACTAACGCGATAGTCGATGAAATGCTCATAGAATTTAGAGGACGATCAAGATTCAAAATGTACATGCCCAATAAGCCGGGGAAATATGGTTTAAAGATGCAGTGCTTAGTAGATTCTGAAAAATTTTATCTTTAAAACATCTATTTATACACCGGTAGAGGTTCCGATGGATTTGGTTTGACTGAAGAAGAGAAAAAGAAATCGGTAGCGACACAGGCCACGCTCCGCTTGTGTCAACCTATTTTCAACACAAACATTAATGTTACCACAGACAACTGGTATTCCTCAATGGAATTACTTCAAGAATTGAAGAAAAGTGGCTTGACAACAGTAGGTACGCTCAAAAAAACAAAAGAGTCATTCCGAAAGAATTTCTCCCGCACAAAGACAGGTCTGTTGAATCTTCCGTGTTTGGATTTACCAAAGAGTGTACTCTTGTAAGCTATGTCCCAAAAAAAAAGGCTGTTGTGCTATACTCTTCCATGCACTATGACCACACAATTGACAGCAATACTGGAAAACCTGAAGTAATTATGTATTACAATTCAACCAAAGGAGGTGTTGATATGGTTGACCAAAAATGTTTGGTGTACTCGTGCAGTAGAAGGACGACGCGTTGGCCTATGGCTGTGTTCTTCAGGATTGTCGATATGGCATGTTGCAATGCGCAAGACATCTATGGAAGCCAAAGTGATGTACCAAAGCTGAGAAGATTGGATTTTCTCAAAAGCATCGCAGAAAACCTAAATCAAAGTAATTTGATGACACGTTTGCACAGTACAACCAAATTCGTAGTTCGATTTCATATATCTTGAAAAGACATTCCTGAAGATGCAAGCCACTCTGAAACTGAAGACAAGTTACCCAGGACGGAAAGAAAGTCTAAGTTAGTGTAACAGCTGAAAAAAGAATAAAACTACTTCAATATTCATTTCATTTTTATTACAAAAAAAAATATTAAAAATCATTCAACTTAGCTTCTAATGCTACAAACTAAATTAGAACCTATTCTTATATCATAACACTATGTTAAACGGATGTTGAAATGCTGGCAGTGGAAAAATACAGTAATTATTAATGACATTAATAAGTGTCTGTAAGTGATACAACTATTGCTCGTATAATCACCACTTCAGTGTAAATATGTATATTTGGAAGTCCTTAATTCTACTATTACCTAGTAATTAAGGAATGGATTTGTGGTCCTTTATATGCGCCGCTGACTACAAAACAAAAAACAATTTAATGGATATGAGAATATTTACAAAATTGCACGCTATTGTAATTATAAAAATATACAAAAAGCACCCTAAAATGGTTGATTTTTAAAGTATATTGCTATTTTAACAACTACTTGTACAAAACCAGATACAAAATTGTAGTATTCATTTTATGTTTAAGTGCAATATTTATGATCACTGACAGTTAACTTCAACATTCCATACATATTATATCTAATAGGTGTGGTTTTTTATGTATTTACTGCCTGGAGGGATCATTTACAAAATATATAAAAGAAGAAACATCTTTTGTGGCAAAACAATATGAATTTTTAGTCTTTCTCCGATAAATAGGACATTGAATACAATAGAATTACTTAATGACACCTCAGAGATGAACATATTGTTGACACAATTTAGCAAAATTACTTGTGTATTAATATTTACACGTTATTTATTTTTACAGTTCTTTTTCTGGCAGCACAAAATCTTATGCAGCCAAAATAAAAGATAAATAACAACTGTAAAATGTAATCTTACACTTTATAATATCCTTGATTTGTTACAAAGAAGTCATCTACAGTGGTATATTCTTCAACAATATTTTATTCTTAGACAGATCTCCGGCAATTTTACCCATTAAACTAATGCAAACGCTTTCTAACACAATTTCACGACCACAAACACTACCTACACAACAATTTTGTAACACACAGTGACTGAACTCTTAACATTCGCAGGTCGTGAGACATGTTTATTAAGCAATCTCATATCACAGTTTCATTTAATCTAAGTGATTACCATAGTATAAAGAGATTACTAAGATCTATTAAATTAAATTCACAAAAACAATGTTTGCAAGTTCATTCTGTGTAAACATTTTTTATAATAGACAATACTTAATTGAATTTCTCAAGCTCCAGACAGATTTTATTGTGATTTACTTTATACTACTAAATTAATAAATGTTATGTTAAAGTTCATTTTAGTTCCACACAATCAATCAATGTTAATTTGACCAAGACCACTAGTCTTAAATGGTATAGACACAACTGGTATCGAACACGATATTTTTCCCAAATTATGCAATTATTTTACAATATTAGATTTGCTACCGACATGTTAAATTACTTAAACGTTAATCAAACATTGGCATATTGATTACAAAAACTTGATTGTAAAAGAAATTATACAAAACAATTTTTGTTTTTAATAATTAAAAAAACCTAATAAAAAGTTTTGTTTCATTACAAAAACTTTTATAGTCGTTTCCTAACTATTCTGATATTCCATTAGCATAATATGTATTCGGCGAACGCCACAAACATTTAAGTTTTACATGTTATTAAATGTACAGTCGCCATGCCAAGTGAAAACGTCATTGCTTTTACTACGTAAAGAACATCCACGTAAAAATCCTGGTATGTATGATATAATATGATGGCAGTTATTAAATTATTATGAAGTACAAATTGTCTCTAATCTATAAACCTTTGTTTTTATTTGCCGGGCGATTTCTGATTTCCGAAAGAAAGGAAATTTTGTTTTTAAAACAAAGGTAACAAAAAATAAAATTATTGTGCCATAATCAGTTACGAAAATAATGTTATGATAGTGTAAAAATTTTTTTCTGATTTTATATTATCCATAATGAAGTTATTGTTCGATCAATATGGTTTGCCACAAACCAATTTAGAATTATTTTATGATGTAACATAATAAAAGAGCAAATTATTAACTAATTCTGTTCCGAATTAGCGGTGTGTGTACTGCTATGTTCCAGCCTGAAGGATATAGCAAGACTCTATAAACAGGCTGTGAGGCATATTCCATTTATCTAACTAACTACTAAGATATCCATCTTAGTAGTAGTTCTTTGATTGAAGATGGCCACAAGTGTCCAAACGTTTGAGTTGTCTTGTCACTGCATATTTTTAAAAAAAAAATGTTTATTTTGCATTGTATTCTATGTATATCATCATACGCCTGTCTATCAATACATTATTTAAATGCAAATTATTTTTTAATTTGAATAATGTATTGATTTACACTAACTGAACAGTCCAAACAACGCGGTTTAGGGAACAAATAGATGATAGCAACACTAATATCTAAACAATTATAAAAACTGAAAATTCATACAAATGGAAGTTATGAATTATGAAGTGTTCAGAACTTCTATTTGTTCATTTTATTTACTCATTTAAATTAAACAAGCATAATAGGGTGAAATGTTGAAAACAAAACATATTGTAACAAATTAAGTCTGAGCACGTATATTTTTATAACCACTTTGAATGTATATAAGATATTTAAAAACAATATAATGTTTAATCCTAATGGACGCCACACACGGTCAGTTCGACTGATGATTCCAACCGATCAGTTCAAACTGAAACTGTTGATATTTTTTAAAATAGTGGATTTTCGATATATCGATCATTATACATATATTAATATGGTGTTTATTTATGGATATATCGAAAATCTGATATTTTAAAAATATCAACAGTTTTAGTTTGAACAGATCAGTTGGAATGATCAGTTAAACTGACCGTGTTTGGCCACCATAAGATTACTTGGATTTTTCTTACTATAACATGTGCATTGTTTACGAATCTTGTATCGGACGAAAGTAAGAGATGTTAAAATACATACATCAAAATATTAATTTGGTGACTCCAAATCTAATATAATAAACTGTTTACGAATTTGAGTTGAAAACTGTAGAAGTGTACTGAAATTCTAACCCAACTCTTACTTTGGTAGGAATTTAAGAATTGTGATCGAATTTCAGTCAATTTTTACGCAAATTAATAAATTGATGACTAGTAAACTCTTAGTTTACAAAAAAAAAATAACTTTAGCTTTAATATTAAGATGACTATTAAGTGACGGCTCAGAAATTAGTTGTTTACTTGCTTTAAAGATAAAAGATTAAAATAAAATCTAACTTTACGTACAGCGTTTAATAAAAAAATTATAATTGTTTTAATTTCAGCTTTTCGGTACTTTTTAAGTCGGACCTTCCCTTGACTTTAAAATTATTTAAAATTATCCAAGATGTCGTGATTTAAATAAAATATTAATTAAATCGCGCACGCAAAATTGTTTTTAATTTAATGTGTGAGGATTACAAAATTAGTAATTCTTTACGTCGAGAGATTCTTATGGTAGCTGCCAGCGTCAATATATAAAAACCATACATGTTACAGTTACAGATATATACAAGCGGTGGGACTTAAATTAACATACCCGATATGCCGCGTGCTACCGTATTAAGACATTTAATGTTCCTTCTCTTTTTGCTTATAAATGTGTTAAGACAGCAGCAGACATTGTCTTTGTACTGACAGTATATGGCTGAAGAAAACAACCAGCTAAAAACTATAATCGGAATCCGTTTTGAAATACAATCGTATCAAACTCAAGTAAAGTACGAGCCTGGTTACACTTAAATATTACAATTATTATACAGTGAACGATATGTAACAAGTGTTCGGCATCCAACTAAACATGTAAATACACTTATCTGGTACAGACTATCACGTTTTTTTAAAGAAATTTACAGTCATTAAAACACTTATTCAGTTTCTCTAAGCCGACAACTAAAATTTCACTCAGTTTAAAAAAATAATGGAACTTCACTGGAGACACTACATTGCTACGTTGACCTCGCGCTAATCACATTACTATCGAGTCCTCACTATAAAATGTATTATTATAGATTAGATTAACGCCACTCGGTTCACGAGAGGGGTTTTCCGTCTGCTTGTGTGGGTGGGTGTCGACACTGGCTGATAGATGTAGCTTGTTTTTGCCCTTTTCGCCGGATGTACTGTTGAAAAATTTAAATGTAAATGAATGAAATGAAAAAAAAACTATGTTTTTTCAATAAAGAGCACATCGTGCAAAAGAATATACTAACTTGTGTAATTTTCAGTCATTGATACATCTAGCTTCACGGGTTTCGTTACATCTATATCGATTTCTTCATAGGAATGGTCTAATACCTGTAACAAGAAGAATATATTAGATAAAAATAATAAATTAACTAACTAAAAGCTTCAAAAGTGGATGATGTCTCTTGTGTGGTGTGTGGTCTTGGTGGAAATCATCCCTTTCATTCATCTTACAATTTACAATGTCTTTTTTATAATTTCTCATACACATCAATTAATTAAATAAAAGTACTTAATATTTCTTTTACGTATAAGTGGTGGTTAGAAAATAAATTTTGTGCAAAACGGAGATCGAAACTTATTTAAGTTAATAAAGTTACTCAAAAACCTGAAACTAGACATAAAAATTTTAAATGACTATATTACACAAGAGGCGACGGAGGGAAAAAGTCAGGAGGTGGGTAGCAGTGCCTTCCTAATAACGACTAAAACCTAAAAACTTTGGTTGCCAACCAGCTTGCCAAGCATGGCAGCTGGCAAATATCACCCCCATGAGACAATCTATAGGGGAGGCCTATGTGCTGCTTGGCCTATGACTAATAGGCTGTAACGGTAATGGTAATACATACCTACCACATACATATTTCAGTAGTTTTTTTTTATTATAAGTTTTTTCCCACTTATTTGTAGTTTTATTTATTTAGTTTCTATTTGAGAATTTTCTTTCAGTTCCCATCAGATACTATAATATACGATGGCATTTTCATAGGTAAAGACCGAACGTTTTCGTTTCGTTAATGATTTTTTTTACATATGTGAGTCAATATATATGTATTTAAGTATACATGTGTGTATTTAATATGCCATTTAGCATCAGACTCACCTTATGTAAAATAATTTTGGTACAATAAATAATAAAATAAATAAACATTAAATCGAATTTCAAAGCCCATTATTCTTGCGTTCTTTCTCCATTTTAATTATAAATTTCGTAAATAAAATTTTCTTAAGCAAAGATGTTATATACATATTCTCTGAGAGCAAAAAAAAATACTCTTCGCAATTATGTATGCACGCCGATTGTGACACATTGCAAAACAGAAATGAAATGAATGATTTTTATTCAATAGAGATTATGGTATAATACCTATTGAAAGTAATTTTTAATTACCACTGGTTCGCAAAAAAAATCTCTGTCTTGGGAAGAAGCAGCAAGAAACCCAGCGGGACTTTTTTTTAAACATACTTCAATTTACAACAAATAAATTTTTATATGAATTTTTATAGAACCAGCATGATGGCGATCACCTCATTCCCAGGGGTTATTTTATTTTTATGTATTCATTTATATTATAATAACCCTTTTTGTACAATGTTTCTTTAATAAAACATTTAAACTTGTTCAATGGCAAATTTTGTACATTTTATGGGATTTTGTTGTAAAAGCGTGTTTACATTGCCCAAGAAATGAATTACTAATTCTGTGGAGTCTAGTAACTTATATTAAAAGTTTATGTTTGTTCCTAGTGTTTTTTCTAATATATTCTATATTATTATGAAAGCTATTTATGTTTTTATGTACATACATTACATTTTTATGGCCAG